ACCGTGGCTGAGGGGCCCCTTGGTGATCCCCCCTCTCCTGCCCTTCTATCAAGGTCACTCCAGCCTCCTGTCTTCATGCTTGTTTCTGGCCCCCCCAGCTGTGGCCCTGTGAGTTGGATGTGTTCTTCCTCCCCAGCCCCTCACCCATAATCATCCCTCAGCTGCTGTTGCTGTGTGGTCTCCCCCCCCCCCTCTCTCTCTCTCTCTCTTCCCCCCCCCCCCCCCCGTCCTTTGGGCCACCCCTGGTGTTGGTCCAGGCTTACTCCTGGCTCTGCACTCAGGATCACCCCTGCTGGTACTCCGAGGCCCGTCTGTGGTGCTGGGGACGGAGCACGGCAAGTGCCACCCCCGCTGTGGCCCCCAGAGTTTGTTTTCCTTCCAGTCCATCTCTGAAGGGTCACTTGGGGCGCCCCCTGCCCCCTGCAACTGGCGCCCGTCCTTGTGGCCCCACTTCTCCCCCCCCCCGCCCTTACCCCCTCCTCCGCCACAGCCTTGTGGGGTCTCCTGCTTGCCAAGCCCCAGCTCCTGCTTCAGGAGAGCGGCCAGGCCAGTCGTAGACCCAGGAGTCAGCCAGGAGCTGTTTCTGCAGAACACTTTGGTTTTTATTGTGGGTCACACCCAGTGATGCTCAGAAGTTATTCCTGGCTCTGCACCCAGGAATCACTCCTGGCGGTGTTTGGGGAACCATATGGGGTGCCGGGGATCGAACCCAGGTCGGCCGTGTGCAAGGCAAACGCCCTACCCTCTGTGCTATCACTCCAGCCTGATGCAAAACACTTTGGGAACGGGCTTTCAGCGAAACTCCTAAGCTCCATGCTGATGACTTTGAGCACTAAACTTGCATCCTCTGGACGCGCAGGCAGGGCCAAGGAACCCTCCAAAGAAGCAGAACCCCCAGGCCAGTCGTAGACCCAGGGAGCCGCGTGGAGCCCCGACTCCAGGTCCTATCGCTGACCTCACCCCAGAGGGTCCCGCCCGCAGTGGGCAGAGGATGGCAGTGAGCTGCAGAGACACAGCGGACGTGACTTGCCCCCAATCAGAGCTGTAGCAACCCTGCTGAGAGCATCAGGGGCTGCCACCCCCCTCTGAGGACCCCCAGTGCAGCCGAGGCCACCAGGCCCTCTGCCCTCTGCCCTCTACCCTGTGCCCTCCACTTTCCTCCCTCCAGCACTGCTGGTGGAGGGAGGGTGCATGGGCCCTGACTGCAGGGGGACAGGAAAGACTTGTCCATGCCAGGCCCTGTCCAGTACCAGGCCTCTGCGGCCAGAGGCAGCCCTCAAACACCCCCTGCCCCCAGCAGCTTGTTTGAGGACACAGTCTCTGCCCCGGGGCCTTGGGGATTTGGTGGCACATCTCACCCCCTGGTCAGCACCCCCAGACCTGCACCCACACTCACCGTACCGTTTCTCCCGTCTTTCCTGGGGGTGGGGGGATGTGTCACACCACAGAGCCCTCACGCCCCAGCTTGTCTCTGAGGGCCTGTGGAGGGATGGGGGGGCGGGTTGCGGGGAGGAGCTGGGTCGGGGCGGTGGGTCAGCTGGTTTCTGAGCGGTGAGCACCAACAAAGACTGTGGGCGGGAGCCCACGGGGCACAGGGCAGAAAGCCGCTGTGAAAACAAACTCCTGTCGGCGCTTTCTCTGCTCTTGGCAGCGTGGAGTGCCCTGAGGGGGGGGCGGGTTTCCGGAGCCCGGGGGCTCACGGCTGTCCAGACATCTGCTTGTTCCCACAGCGAGTGCTGGAACGGGGCTAGGGTAGACGGGGCGGTGGGAACTGGTGTGCGAATGCAGGTGGGACAAACGTGTCCGGGAAGGGGTGGCCACAGAGCCTCCCGGTAGCAGCTCTGCACCCTGCGCCCGCTGATGCCCGGGCCTGGGGGACTCTGGCTATTCTCTTCTCCCTCGGCTAGCCGTGCGCCCCCCCCCCCCCCCGCCCCGGCTCTGCGGGCCTTTCTGCCTCCTGTCTGGTGGGGAAGCGGGAGAAAGGGTCTTTCCAGCTAGTCTGCACGCCTGCCCGGCTTGACCGGCTGGGGGCCTCTCTCTGCAGAGCTGAGGACCACGAAGGCAGCAGGGAGAGCACCGACTGCTCTGGGGGCACGGAGCCAGGGGTGGGGGGGCGGGGGGCGGGGGAGGCGGGCAGGAGGGCTGGACAAAGCTGGGGAAGGAGCCGTCCTGAGGGTGGAGACGGGGTGGGGCTGGTCAGCAGCGCCCTGAGAGTCTGTAGATCCCCTGGTGTGTGTCGCCTCCATCGTGCAGGGAGGGGTATACCCGCAGCCCTCCCTCTCCCCACTTCGGCAGCTCCCAGGTCCCTGGTCCATTCAGCAGCTAATAAGCAGCTGGTGCCAGGGCTGGGGGAGCCCGGCAACAGGAGGGCATTGTTAGAGCAGGGCGAGGTGAGGCCTCCCGCTGCTGGACACATGCAGAGTTCACGGGCAGGTGGGGCTTCAGGGGGCCAGAGGAATGTGCCGGGGAGGGGATCTGGGGGCCAATGTGTGCCAGCTCCAACACACGCTCACAGAATTACACACACAACACACAGCCCTACACACGGGCATAGCCATACATGGAGCACACGGTACCCGCCCGCACATCTATGCACGGGCATGCATGGAACACACACACACACACACACACATAGTTATGCATGGAGCACATGCATGCAGTCATACATGGAACAAAGCACTCATAGACATGCACAGTCACACAGAATGCAAGCTACCCACACACATGTGTAACAAGTCATACATGGAACATGCAGCCACACACATGCACAGTCATACATGGAACACACAGATACTCATAGATGGTCATGCTTTGAATGCAAGAAACCCGACGTGCACGGAGCACGCATGCGTGGTCCTATTTCAAGCACCCAGCTGGCCACAGGCACACATGCATATACTCAATTGTCACACACACACAGACATGCACACACAGAATCATACTACAGGCAGTCATGTGCACGTGCACCCTTGCACACAGCCACACTCTCCTCACGCGTGCACATACAGAATCACATGCAACCCGGCACATGGGCACACCAGTGTCACCCACCAGCTTACATGAGGCCACTGGAGACCTAAGCGGCCTCCAAAAGCATCTTCCCACCCATCCTGCTCCCCTCTCCCCACCCCTGCTCCCCTCTCCCCATCTGCCCTGCTCCCCTCTCCCCATCTGCCCTGCTCCCCTCTCCCCACCCCTGTTCCCCTCTCCCCACCCCTGCTTCCCTCTCCCCACCCCTGCTCCCCTGTCCCCACCCACCCCCTCCCCTCTCCCCACTCTGCCTTGCTCCCCTCTCCCCATCCCTGCTTTCCTCTTCCCATCCTCCCTGCACCCCTCTCCCCCCATCCCCTTTCCCCCACCCACCTTTGGCTTCCCGTTTTTATCAGCAGGCACACAAGTTTCAGATTTGCCAGGTCATGGTCTGGAGAACTCGGGGACAGGAGCCAACAGAGTATGAGTGGGGGGACCCTGACCGAGACTCTCGGGGTGACCTTGGGTCCTCATAGCTTTCCTTCCTCCTCTGGGCTCAGGCTGGAGGGCATCTCTGGGGTACTGGTGTGCTGGGAGTCCCCTGGACCAGCCAAGGCAGGCTGCTAGGCCTGCTTGCCTTGCTGCGGCCTGCTCGGGGGCTGGCCTGGGTCATGGGCACCCACTGTGAGTTTCTTTCCGCTCCCACGCCCCCACCCCCCGGCCCTCTACCTTCAAGAAAGATGGCACCGAGAGGGTCCAGAATCTGCCTGCTCTCACATAGTCACTGGGCTGGCGTTACTCTGACCTGGGCAGGAAAGGCCTGAGGGACGTTTGTGGGGACAAATAGGATGAGAAAGGGCTGGCTCCGAAACTTGCTGGTGGAGGTGATGGGCTATCATGGGAGGAGGTGATGGGGGAGCAAGAGGTCCAGGAGGAGACACTGAGGGAGCAGGTGGTCCCGGGAGAAGATGAGGGGGAGCAGGTAGAACCAGGAGGAGGTGATAGAGGAGCAGGTGATCCCAAGAGGAGGTAATGGGGGAGCAGGTGGTCCCAGGAGGAAGTGATGAGGAAGCAGGTGGTCCCAGGAGGAGGTGATAGAGGGACAGATGTTCCTAGGAGGAGGTGATGCGGAGCAGGTGGTCCTAGAAGGAGGTGATCCGGGAAGAGGTGATGGGGGAGCAGGTGGTCCCAGGAGGAGGTGATGGGGGAGCAGGTGGTCCGGTAGCAGGTGATGGAAACAGGTGGTTCGGGAGAGGGTGATGGGGGAGTAGCTGGTTCCAGGAGGAGGTGATGGGGAAGCTGGTGGTCCCAGGAGGAGGTGATAGGGGAGCAGGTGCCCCCAGAAGGAGGTGTGGGGGAGCAGGTGGTCTGGGAGGAGGTGATGTGGGAGCAGGTGGTTCCAGGAGGAGGTAATAGGGGAGCAGGTGGTCCCAGAAGGAGGTGATGGGGGAGCAGATGGTCTGGGAGGAGGTGATGGGGAAGCAGGTGGTCCTGGGAGGAGGTGATGGGGAGCAGGTGGTCCAGAAGGAGGTGACGGGGAGCAGGTGATTTCAGGAGGTGATGGAACAGGTGGTCCAGGAGGAGGTGATGGGGGAGGCTGTTGGGAGCTCAGTGGGGAGGAGGGGAGGACGTGTGTGTGTGTGTGTGTGTGTGTGTGTGTGTGTGTGTGTGTGTGTAGCGGCAGGAGCAGGGTCTGGCACAGTTGCGGCAGGAGGCCAGGGACTGGCAGGGTCCCCGGGTCCCATTCTGCAGCTGTGGGGGCTGTGGCAGGTTCTCTGAGGGGAGCATTGTCAGGTGCCTCCGCTGCAGGGTGGGGGCCGCTGGAAGGGAGCGGACTTTTGCACGAACATCCTAGGATCGTGCCCGTGGGGAAACCTTTGGCTGCCATGGCTGCCGGTCTCTCAAGTAGCCTGACCAGGCGGGAGGTGAGGGGCCGGGCTGCGCTCGAGGAGGATGACTCAGTGGCTCAGGGACATCAGCGGCACCCGGCTCCTTCCGTGTCCCCCTCTGAACGTCCCCTCGGTTTCCAGGTTCCTTCTGGGCCATGAGGCGCCCACGGCTTTTGCAGACAGGACCCCCGTGTCTGTGCCGGCAGCTAGACAGAGCCAAGCCAACCGCAGGGCGTGGCAGAGGCGGTTCGAGCGGGAGGTGAGTGCTCCCAGCCTGTTACTCGGACATGACACTCGGGGCGGGGGTGGGGTGGGGGGGTGGGTAAGGCATTTGCCTCTCACACTAGCTGGACCCCTGCCACCACATCTGATCCCCTGAGCACTGCCAGAAGTGATCTCTGAGCACGGAGCCAGGAGTCACCCCTGAGCACCGTGGGATGTGCCCCCCCCCCCAACCAAACAAAATTAAAACAAACAGCTTGTTGCACACCAGCCAAAACTCACAAAGTTACGTGCCACCAGCTGGGAAACCTTTTTTTTTTTTGCAACTTGCATCATAGGACTAGTCTCCCTAATGTAGAAGGAGCCCCCGAAAATCAGCCTCAAAGACAGCAGGAGGGAATACAAGCAGAGTCACCGAAACGGCTCCGCACCTGAGAGCCAGCCTGCTCTGAGATGATGTGTCTTTGAACCTAACCTAGTTTTGATCTTGAACCCCCACTCGGTGCTGCTTAGGGCCGCCCCCCAGCTCTGAGCTGGGCCTTTGCTCCCGTGGGTGCTTAGGGGACCTTGTGGCACCGGGCTCAGAATCCGCATGTGTCCCGCTCACTGTACTCTTCTCTCCCGCCCCTCCTGCAGGTTTTAAATGGGCAAAAAATCCACAGAGTTTAGGATCCTGCTCTGTCGACATGCTCTGGGGAACCGTTTCATAGTGCCAATCAGCATTACAGGCAATTTGGCAATTTCTATTGAAATGATCCATCACTTATCTTTCACCCCAGCAGTTTCATATTGTAGGACGGGTCCTACAGCGATATTTACACTCACGGAATGACACTGGAACTTGCCTAGTTTTTGTAATAGCAAAAGATCAGAAAGAACCCCAATATTCCACGGTTGGGGGACAATGGAATTCCGTACCTTTGAAAGCAGGAACAGGAAAGCATTGGACCCAGCTGGCAGATCGGAAAGGTCCCCAAAACATAGGAAGTATGAGAAGCAAAAATCCACCAAGGGCAGAAACGTGCATATTTAAGGGATGGTTTTTGTGTGTGCTGGGAAGGTGGGAGATATGGGGGGGGTATGCACATTTTAGCGGGCCCCTTTTCATACCTTTGGAGGGTTTTTTACAATCTTGTTTGGGGGCCACGCCTGGCAGTGCTCAGGGCCTACTCCTGGCTCTGTGCTCAGGGATCATTCCTGGCAGGGTTCAGGGGACCGTACGGGGGTGCTGGGGATTGAACCCAGGTTGGCCATGTGCCAGGCGAGTGCCCTACTTGCTGTTTTCACCCCAGCACCCCCATACTTGTGGAGTTTTTGAGCCACATTGCGTGTTGCCTTTGGACCAACAAGACCTGCACAGCCTCTGCAAAGCATCTCGGAGGAGGCACTTGTTCGGGCTGGAGGGAGGGTGGCAGGGAATGCAGAGCAGGGTCAAAGCTGCCTCCCAGCAGGGGGAACCCCTGGACCCTATTGTGAGACAGGACAGGGAGAGGCTGGTGGAGGGAGGCCGGAAGAAGCGCTTCCTTTGTACTTGCTGCCATCCTGAGGCTGGGGTAGTGGCTCCGGCTTCTGGGCTGTGGTGCTGGTCATTCCTTCTAGCAGAGCCCTGGCCAGCACAGTGCCCCAATGGGGGGAGGGGGGACTCCAAATAGGGGTAGAACTGCAGGCCCTTCTGGGCACAGAGCCCTTTGGGGAGTAGAGGCCAGGAGAAGCGCTCATCTGAGCCCAAGCACCCGGAGGCAGGCCCAGTGGCGACATAGACCCTGTCCCCCTGCCCCACCAGTCAGCCGTGCAGGCCACAGAGCTCCACTTCCCACCTTGGTGTCCGGACTGGAGTCCCCGGAGACAGTGGCCCTGGGGCACGGGGCACCCTGCAGTGCTGCTGGGGGCACCTTGACCTTCGCCCCACTGGAAGCAGCAGAACAGAGTGGTGAGGTGCCGCGGGGTTGTGGCGCCGGGTGGTGCGTGGGGGTGTCTGCGTGGGAAACGTGGGCGCCTGCTGGCTCTGCACTGTAGCTGGGAAGGATTAGGAGACAATTAATAAATCATTGAGTGCCCCAAGTTTAAGTAACTTATTATTATGGGCTGCATATATTTATCACGCTTCGCCGGGCAGCTTTGGCGAATTTCCTTCAAATGTCACACAATTTGTATGCATTTGTTTCAGAAGGTTTTTAAAGATGCATCTATAAATGATTGACCTGAATTCTTCAGAACAGAACCACAGAATCCCGCCCCTCCCGCACCTGCCTTGATCTGCCTCATAAAAACCTGCGGTCCCCCAAATGATGGTGGAGCTGCATCCTACCATCGAGGGGTGCAGGGAAGGGGGAGAGAGGGGCTGGGGACAGGCTGTGTCACCTCCTCGCCCCCTTATCCAAGCCCAAAATGAAGTCTGTTTCGGGGGGACTGGCTGGAGGCTGGAGAGGACCCGGGGATTGGGACAGGGCTCAGGTGGGGATCAGGATCAGGGATCAGGATTGGGAATCAGGGAGCAGGGATGGGGCTCAGGAATCGGGGATGGGGACCAGGGATCAGGATCAGGGATCCAGGATCAGGGATCAGGAATGGGCAGGGATGGGGGATTAGGAATCAGGGATGGGTACCAGGGATCGGGAATGGGGATCAGGGGACAGGGATGATGATTGGGGATCAGGGATTGGGATTAGGGATCAGGGTTGAGGATTGGGGATAAGGATTGGAGATCAGGGATTGGGATTAGGGACCAGGGATGAGGATTGAGGCTGAGGGATTGGGATTAGGGATCGGGCATTGGGGATCAGGGATCAGGAACGGGCCCTTCCAGAGCCAGGCCCAGGACCAAATAGACTTGCCAGAGGGGTGTCCCCATGGTCTGAGGGGCACTGAAGGCCCCCTGCACACACCTTTTCCCGGGCCAGGGTGAAGTTTCTGGTGAGATGACCTTAAGGGATCATCGCTGCCTCTTGCCACAGAGATTCCCCAGGGAGGGGCTGGCGCAGGGCCCAAGGTCAGAATCTCTGCCTCACCTGCCTCCAGCTCTCAGCTTCCAGCATAGTGAGTGTGTGTGTGTGTGAGTCGTATCTGTGTGAGTGACCTTTTGAGTGGGTCACAATCGCCTGTGTGTGAGTGTATGTGCATGCGTATGAATGTGTGTGCGCGCGTGTCTGCGTGTGAGCATGTATGCGGGTGAGAGTGTGTGCTTGCCTTCCCCCATTACGGGCTGCTGTGGTCCACCGGACTCAGTGTCTGCTGAGGGACAGGCCAAGGCAGCAGAGACGGCACTGGACCCCCGACAGCTCAGACAGGCTTCCCGGTGGCTGAAGGCTCCTTTCTCCTTGAGCTGGCCAGCACAGCTGGGGGTGCCCAGGTTCTTTCCTCCTCCTGGCGCCAGGCGAGCACCCGTCTCATGGGGCTGAGCTGGGACAGGGTGTGAGAAGCAGCTCAAGGAAACCACGACTACTGGTGTTGTGGATGTCTGTCATGGACGTCAAAGTGTGCGGACTCACGGCTTCAGGCGTGGCTACTATGGACCTGCCCCTGGGGACTGTCCCCGACCCACCCACCAGGCTGGATTGAGGTTCTCAGCTGGCCACATGGAGCCCTGTAGTCACCGCGCTGGCGGTTCCAAGGCACTTGTACGCTGGTCCCCGAGGCGCCGAGTCGAGGTGCTGGGCCACAGAGGCCGTGTGGGCAGGAGAAGGGCTGGAGTCCCCCTAGCCCCCCAGCCCTGCAGCCCCCCCCCCCCGCCCCACACACACCTGTTCCTCAACTGCAGCCCCGCGCAGTCTCCTGAGGGGCCGGCCCTGCCCCCGTGTGCTGACTCTCCCGTGCCAGCCGCTGCCAGCTGCCGGTTCCTTGGCCCACAGGTGCCAGGTGGCGACAGCTGCTTGGGAGAGCCATTGTTCCAGGCGGTTACTGCTGCCGGGAGCCCACCGTCTTCCCAAACGGCATGCAGGGAGCATCTGGGCGGGGAAGGGGTCGTCCCTGCAGGGCTGTGGGTGGAGTCGGGGCCCCTCTAGGAGAAGCCCCGCTTTCCTACCTGGTTGGTTCTCAGATTGGCGTTATACCCTGGAGCCGAGTTAGTGCAGCAGAACGCAGGAAACGAACAACACGGGAGCTAGCAGCCTCTCCCCATGTGATGGGAACCTGGGGTGGCGGCCGTACCCCCTCCTCACCAGCCCCCCCGGTAAGCATGCTCGAGCCCTGCTAAGGCTTTATGAGCTGATACTCAGGATCAGCCCCAGGACGGAGTCCACTGGGCCTGAGGCGGGGGTCCAGCCAGGGCTGGCCTGGCCCTCCCTACACCCGCTATGTGCACAGACCTGCTGGAATTGGGGGCCCTCTTCTCTCCTGCGGACCCTTCTCTGCTCTTTAAGCAGCGTTCCTGTGGGCGGCACATTGCTGGTCCCCGGGACATGCATGTCCCCATGTCCAGTGTCCTAGACTGTCCCTGATCTAGCGCAGAGCTGACTTTCAACACGCTGTTTCCTGGGCATAGGAGTTGCTGCGGCTCCACGCCAGCTCCCCTGGTCCTCCCTGCTCCTCCTCTCCCTCCTCCCTCCCTTCCTCCTCTCTCTCCCTTCTGCCTCCCCACCTTCTTCCTCCACCTTCTTTGTCCCCATCATAGGTCCCAGGCACGGGGAGGCCGTGATCATGGGGCACCAGAGTTTCTCAGGCTGCGGGCGGGGCTCCCCAGGGTTTGGCTCAGGGTTTTCTATTTTGGAAATTTTGGGGTTGGGGGCCACACCCGGAGGTACTCGGGGCTTACTCTTGGCTCTGTGCTCAGTGGTCACTCCTGGTGGGGCTCCTGTGACCATATGTGGGATTGAACCCGGGTCTGCTGCATGCCAGGCAGGTGCCCTGCTGCTGACTCTCGCTGCGGCCCCTGGTCCTCTTAGTACCCGCCTGCCCCTCCGTTTCCCCGCCCCTGTCAGCACACATGGCCACCCACTCCCTGGGATGAGATCTCTGAGGCAAGCTTCGAGTCTGTACAACATTTACTCCCCTGCTGGGCGTGAGACATTTCCAAGCTGCCTTCGAGGGGCACGTGGGGTCTGCAGAACCTCACTGCTGCCCCCCAAGGCCTCCCCGAGCCTGGCCTGCGGTTCTCCCAGGAGGTGGCGTGAACAGGGTCATTGTCCAGTGGAGCGGACACTCGGGCAGCTCGCCTCCCTCGGCGAGACCAGGTCCACGTCCCCGGCACCCCAACTACTGACCCTGCAAAGCGACCTCGGCACCCCGGCCCTGCGGTCCCTCCCAGAATGTGGGGGACAGGCTTGGACTCTGTCTCACACCCCAGTCACCTGAAACGTGGTTCTGAGGCTGAACGCTAGATTCGAGCTTTTCTTTCCTTCGTATGAACTGGAATGCGTGTGGCCCAGGCGTGCCTGGCCCGTGTGAGGCCTGGGCTGGACCCCCTTCACCCATCCCTGCAGTGGCTGGTGTGGCCAGCACTAGGCACACATGACAAGGGGCTGGCTGCCTCCTCGGGCTGCTGTGGAGGCTGAGACGCCGCCGTCCCGCCCGCCTGCCCGGCACCCCGAGGCACGCAGGAAGCCAAGTTCTAAGGGGGCTTCACGTGGCGCGTTCCAGCCCGCTGCGCCCTCGGCTGTCTGTCCCCACGTCACCTGGGGTGGCGGCGATGCGTGTCAGTAACGAGCTCACACTAAATGTTCCTGGTCTGCTGCTTCCCTGGAGGGCCCGGGAGCCGAGTGGTCTGTGGCCTGCTTTGCAAGTGATTAACACGGCGCGGGCAGCCGGGAGGAGGAGCCCTCCGCCGGCATCCCATTATTCTATTAGACTTTCGGAGCCGGGATTAAGTGGACATGATTTCTTCCTATGGGCCATTAATTTTGTTTTATTGCCGGTCTGACGGCCATTACCCTTTTTTGCCAATGCATTCCCCCATTAGGTTTGTACAATTAACAAAATATGTGCTGTTAGGGCTTTGATAAGAACAGTGGGCTGGAAATCAAGAGGGGGTGCGGGCGCCCCCGAGCTGGGGGTGGAGAGAGGCAAGGCCCAGGGTGGGGGTCTCCCGAGCTTAGCCCGGACACGCCCTGGGACCCTCTCTGCTCTGACCCCCACCCCCGCAGGAGCCCCTCCCTGCCCCCCCCACACCCTGAGTCCTCAGTGTGGGCCAGTGACATGAGAGCTTTGGGGTGAGCCGCTTCTCTGCTGCCCGCAGGCCCGTGTTAGGCAGGACAAGGCCAGAGGCAGAGCCGCGCTATGACCGCCTGCAGAGGGACAGGAGGGGCTTTGCGTCTCAAGGGGACCCCCGGCGGGGGGGAGGTGCTGGGTGGAGGCCAGGAGGGGCCACAGCAGTTGTTTCTGACAGGATGTTAGCCAGATATTTGGTATCTGCCCCAGGGGGTGCTGGGGATGGTGCTTGGAGGAGCAACTTCCTGGGGACCTCCCCCCACCCAAGCGCAGGGTCGGCTGGGGAGTGGGTGTTCTGGCATCTCCTTCACCTCGGGGAGCCCGAGAGACAGCCTGTGGGCCGAGGATCCCCGAGTGGCCGGCCCGCTCTGAGCGCTTTTCCGCCCTGCCCCAGCGCGGGATCCCGTCAGAGTCAGGAAGTCCCAGGAAACGGGCATCATGTGGGCAGAGCCCCGGACCTCACGGCCAGGAGTCTGGGCCACCGAGGGAATGGGGTGGGCCCCCCTGTCCAGCCCTGCCGTGCTGGGTGCTCCCCCTCTGCCACTCCTGCTTGGCTCTGTGCCCCGCCCGCGCCCACATTGCCCTGTGCTTGCACGGCCGCTAAGAAGTTTCCTCTCGTTGACAGGTGAAGTGCGGGCCCAGACTCCGGCCTCCCGTCCTCCATGCTGCTCCCCAGCCGAGGCCCCGCCCACTGTAAGTAACTCGGTTTGGCGTTTTCGTGGCGTCCGTGTGGTGGTTTGGTGGGGGGGGGGAGTTCCTCTGGCAGCCTGAGCCGAGCCAGGGAGACCCTCGCCGTGAGCGACTGGTGAGCGACCGGTGGGCATCAGGGAACCTGTGAAGCGAGGTCTTCTGGCCGCCAGCACAGCCACCCGTTGTCTCCCGGTTGAATGGGGAGAAGGCCAGCTCTCAGGTGTCGGTGAGACCGAGCCGGATCCCACCTTCCTGGCTGTGGTGGGGACGACACAGGGGCCTGCGGGTGGTTTCTGGGGGCCTCCGAGGGAGAGGCCAGAGTGTCGGTCGCTTCTCCACAGACGTGAGCCTGTCGCAGGCCGCCCGCCACGTTCTGTTTCCTGTCCCTGGTCCTAAGGCAGAGCAGCACAGATGCGAGCGACTCTGCTCAGCGGAGCAGAAGGAGGTCACTGAGGACCTGCTTTCCTCAGGCCCAGAGGGCAGGGTCATGTGCACGGACCCGCCGGCTTCATCAGTTCCCTGGTTATCCCTGGGCCTCAATGGCCTACCTATACCCGCCAATGGCCCAGCTGCCTGCCCGCTCCTCACACAGCTCTCCCTCCGCACAGCCCTCCCTCCCTCCCTCCACCCTCCCTCCCACATAGCCCTCCCTTCCTCTGCCCTCCCTCCCTCAGCCCTCCCTCCCGCACAGCCCTCTCCGGCAGCTCATGTGGAAGTGCCTTAGGACTTGGACCCAGGTCCTCCCACTCAGGCTGGGAGCCCTGGTGGGGAGGGGGAGGGGGGTTCCCGGCCCCCCCCCACCTGCTGCTCCCAGCCCAGGCGTGCTCGGCAGAGGTTCTCTGGAAGATGGGCTGCCCTGCGGGCTGCAGAGTTCACCCCTCTTCTGGGGTGCCCAGAGTCTGAACTGCGAGCACGGCTTTGATAGTGCACTGGCTCCCAACCGGTCTGTGGAATTATAAATGATTAACCGTCATCAGCGCACATCTTCACCTCTGTGTAAAAATAGATCGACTGTAATGAGTGTTTGAATAAATCATAAGAATGGCCGCCCTGCGCTCGCCTGACATCCTGCCGCCGCTGCCCGGTGAGCGAGCTGGGCGCCGGCTGGACGCCTAATGGCCGCAGGTCAGGGCCATGCATCCCGGGGCTCCCCGGGTGGCCCCACAGTTCCAGGAAAGCCCCCGAGGAGAGAGCGCATGGCCTTGAGAGTGGGCAAGAATTCCCCCACCCGGAAGTGGGGTCCTGGGTGAAAGGATCGCTTGGGGGGGGTGTGCCGGGAAGGTCAGTGGGGGGCAGGCAGCAGCAATGAGGGAGAATGCAGTGACTGCCAGCGTCCTGGGTGCTGTCAGGTGGAGCTCACCCTGTTCTCGGGGCCTGGAGTCTCGGACCCCGGGAACTCGAGTTGTCTGAGGAATCACTCATGTGGAATTCAGCTGCTGACCAAGACTTGGCCCGCCCCGCCCCAGCTCCTGGTCAGAAATGTGGGTCCAGGGATTCTGCCCACGGCTGTGCCCATATGGGCACGCAGCTGCCAGTGTCCCAGGACCCGCTCAGGGTCCTCCTGGGGGCAGTTTGCTGCTGACCAGGTGTGTGCTGGGGGCTTCACCCAGCCGTGCCCCGCCCTGGTGCCGGGGGTCCCCTCTGGTGTGGTGGCAGACGCTAAGTCAGGCTGGGGGTGTTGGAGAGACCCCGGGAGCCAGGTGGAAGCCGCATCGCCAAAACCTCATTTCTCGCACGTGCTCCTGCTGGGGGTCGCTGCAGAAACCTGCCTAGGTTTCGGGAGAGGAACAGGACCCCCCACCCCACCCCACCCCTCGCCACATGGAAAGGAGAGCTCAGGGCCCAGATGAACGTGGGCACAGTCGCTGTAGGCGGGTGCTTGTCAGGCATGGCACAGAGTAGCCTCAGCATCCAAGGGAGAATGAAGGGGTCTTCCTGGGAAGCGGGGACCCCTGCTGCCCAACCTGTCCCAGGGCTCAAAAACCTCAGAGAAGGAGGAGGGTCAGCACGCGGTGTCCGAGGCCTCACCAGAGTCTCTCTCAGCTCGTGGAGACCCTGCTTGCAGCCCAGAGATGAGGGGCCAGGGTTGAGAGTGGCCTTGGTCCTTTGAGCTGTGATTGCCACCCCAGCGGCCACCCCCCCCGGCCAGCAGCCCCCTGCCTGCCTTCCCTGCTTGGTAACAGTGCAGGCTATTCCCTGTCTTCTTTGCCAGTCTCTTCGTCAGAATGCAGCTAAATTCTGCAAGAACCTGGACATTCTTTGCTGCAACTCAAGGGAGTTCATAGAACCCAAACTCACAAAGAGTAGAAGCAGTCAGTTTTGGGGGAGACGTGGACTAGCCAGGGGGGCTGCAGGACCACAGGCTGAGTGGGCGTGAAAGGTTCTGGGGCTGGAGGAAAGTCTCGCCCGAGCTCCTGGCCCCCGGGGCTGCTGTGAGCCATGCTTTCCTTGCCTGCAGGAAAGACAGAGCTGAAGGCCTGGGAAGGAGCCCCCTGGAAAGGACCAGTCTCAGAGTGCAACATACCCATTCTCTCTTCTCACCTCTCCTCTACGCAGGGCCCCAAGAACCCAACCCTCCTCTGGCAGAATGGGAAAATCTGGTGGTGCCATCCCTAATGCCCCCAGGTGCTCAGACGCTTGATTTGCAGAAAGGCTGGGGGGGGGGGGGGAGGGGAGGCGGAGCACTTGCTGAACTGAACCCAGGCAGGAAGGGAGACCTGCTGGACCACTGGATCACACTCCATCCACATGAGCCCCTGGGTGCCCCCCGCGCTCCTGTGCCCAGTAGCGTGAAATCCAGGCCACTGACCCAGTTTCTCCGGGGCCTGTGAAGGACATCGATGCCAGCAGGCAGGCCCTGCGTGCCGTTAAGGATGAGCGTCTGGGGTGACGTCTGAGTTGCAGCCGGATGCCAGTCGCGGGCTCGGTCCTCATGTCTCTGCTCTCCAAGGGGACGGTGGACACAGGGCCGTCTAAGAGAGGCCCGGCCTCCCCCCTACTGGGAAACCTATGGAAAGTGGCTCTGAAAAGGGAGACGATCCCACCTGGGGCTCCTGACAAGAGCGGTCAAGACTCTTGCCTTTAATTGTGCCCCCCCCACCAAGTTCCCTCATAAACTATTGATATTTTAATACTACACATTAGCATCTTGCCCTTTGACAAATGAATATTGAATGAGCAATCTAGAGGCCGAAGGAAGCCAGGTAGAGGGCTTCGGGGAAACTGGCCCAGGAGGCCTTGTCCGAGGGGGTCAGGCCTTCCCCTCACCCCAGACCTTCCTACATACCCGCAGCCCCTGGGGAGCCCTGCCCGGAGCTATGGGACTCAGAGCTACCGGAAAGGACTCGTCAGGGTTTCTACCCTTGGGCTGGAGGACTTGTCCAGATCCGCTCGTTGAGCGGCCTCAGCGGCACAGCTAAGGGCTGGGTGGCTGGCGTTTTCCTCCTGCGTCCTGTCTGCAGGTAGCAACTGGACGTGGGCCTCCGGGTCGCCTCGGCACATTCCCACTCTCCTTCCCTGCAATCTGGCCCGGCAGCCCCGCCGGGGCGGGGCGTGTCAAGGTTCCACAGACGGAATTCCCAGTGTTACGGCAGTGACAGCTCCAGCTGCCCGCCTCGCCTGGCTTGGCCGGGGTCCTTGGCCTCGCCTGACCACCACGATGACGACTGGGGTGCTTTGCTGGTCCAGCTTAATTGGTGTGATTTAACGGCATTTCTGGCGGATTCAGATTTATACGGCCTCCCGAGCTGCAAATCTGCTTTCTAAATGTAGAATTTTTTGTGGAGTGGTGAAAAATAATGGCCGTTCTGTGATTCCTGCTTTCCTGAGCTAGGAGATTGCAATTTACATTATGCAAATAGACGTTATGCAATCAAGGCCCTCGAGCAGGAATCTGGCGGCAGAGAGGCCGCTGATGAGAGTGGGCCTGAGGGGGGTGGAGGGAAGTGGGGGGGGGGCGGGCGGGGGGTAGCGGGCAGAGTCTGTGCCCTGGGCCTGAGCAGGTCGAGAGGGGCCTGCCCAGAGATGAATGCATCTGGGAGCTGCCAGAGACTCTTGCAATTAATGGCTTTGTTTAATCATACCCCCTGTCCAGAGCAGTATTGTCTTACGGATAATTTCGTTTGCCTAACGAGATTTTGCTAATTAAATCTCCTTTCAGTTGGTGTGACTCTGCCCTGCAGGAGAGGGGGCTGTTTGGAATCTTCTTCCAGAGTCTTTCTAGAGTGGAGCTGGGAAGGAGGGGTGAGGGGTGGGGGGGCGGTAGATGACCCTGCCCGCCCCTCCTTACAAGAGCTCCCTGAAAGTGAGGACGTCATAAACCTGGGTCCTTTCCTTCCTCCGTCCACCCCCACCGGCCACCCCCACCGTGATCTGTTCTCCAGTACTCAGCATGCCCCCCCCGCCGCACCCCTGGTCCCCCTGCTCTGGGCTGAGGGTTTGCAGGCACAGGCGCAGCTGCCCTGGCTCGCTGTGGGGTGCCAGCAGTGATGGGGACGGTGGCAGGGATTTGCCTTTGCTCTTAGCCAACCTGCCTGCCTGCCTGGGCCCTTCAGAGAGGGAAATCGGCTCCAGCTCGGGTCATTTCTGCCGGGGGCTTATGGCGTGACCTGGAGGGACGGATGGTCAGAGTCCCAGGTCCCGTGGGCCCTGGTGGCAGCAGGTCGACCCTGGCTCCTTTTCCAGCTGCACCTCCTTCCTCCCTGCGTCCCACAGTGTCTCCCACGCGGGCAGCCTGGGCCCCCGTCTTCGCTCGCTCACCACCTCGCAGACCCACTGCAAGTTGAAAATGTGGAAAGTCCTCCCGGGTGGAGCAATAGTGCTTGCCCGCAGCTGACCCTGATTCGATCCCTGGCAGCCCGGATGGTCTCCCGAGCACTGCCAGGAGCAGCCCCTGAGTGCAGAGTCAGCCCTGAGCACCACCGAGTGTGGCCCAGAAACCAAAAATAAATAAAGTGCCTCGACTTCCCCGAGCCTCCCGGGCATCCTGGCATTGCTTGTGGGAT